CAGGTATTATGCATATAAGATTTTAGGTATTAAATATCAGATCATTTGACCTCTTTGAGAAGGCAAAGTTAATTCAGGTCGTAAAATGTCATGTGGTGTGACTTCCCAAAAATAAATAAAAAATGTTTACCTTGAAAAAAAAAATATAACTTTATAATAAATAAATATATATAAAAAAAATCACATGTGTACACTTCATGATAAGACCACAGTACTTATTAAATTGAAAATAAAAGATGCTAAATTGAAAAAGATTAGTTTAATTAGTTTAATTAGATTAATTCATTTTTCAAAGCTATATGAAATTAACATTAATACAGAGTAAATATATAAGTTGTTACATTTTTAAATATATAAGTTGTTGATTTGTCCTTTTCTCAGACACTCTTATTTGTCATTGATAATAATATATAATAAATACTTGTTTTTGTTTTTATGTCTTCATGTAGGAATGTTTACCCTCACAGAAGTTGCCTCTCTAAATGACATCCAGCCAACTTATCGGATACTGAAACCATGGTGGGACGTCTTTATGGATTACCTGGGTGTGGTCATGCTAATGCTGGCCATATTTGCCGGGACCATGCAGTTAACCAAAGATCAGGTGGTTTGCCTTCCTGTTCTGGAATCGTTGGAGGACCAAACCCCCGTGGCCACGGAAAGGCCACCAGAGAAAGCTCTTGGCCCAGGGACAGGAGGAGGCCATGTGACATTGGCAGCTGCACCTTTAGCAAGCAAAGAACAAACCGACAGTGTTGTCCAACACTTCCCACAGTCGTCTGCTGTCAAGCAACCTCAGCCTATGGGTTTACGAACAAATCTGGATTTTCAGCAGTATGTCTTTGTTAATCAGATGTGCTACCATGTTGCCCTCCCATGGTATTCAAAATACTTTCCATATCTAGCTCTCATTCACACTATTGTTCTCATGGTAAGCAGTAACTTTTGGTTCAAGTATCCAAAGACCAGTTCCAAAATTGAGCATTTTGTGTCTATTTTGGGCAAGTGTTTTGAGTCCCCTTGGACAACCAAGGCATTGTCTGAGACAGCCTGTGAAGACTCCGAAGAGAATAAGCAGAGATTGACTGGAGCCTCTACGTTACCAAAGCACTTTTCAACCAGCAGTGAGGAGGGAAGTCCAAATCAGTCCACACCCATGCTCGCAAAATCTAACATTAAGTTTTCTGCAGAGAAGCCAGTCATTGAGGTTCCAAGTATGACTATACTTGATAAGAAAGATGGAGAGCAAGCTAAAGCACTTTTTGAGAAAGTGAGAAAGTTCCGCACACATGTCGAAGACAGTGACATGATCTACAAACTCTATGTAGCTCAAACAATAATAAAAACGGTCAAATTCATTCTGATTCTGTGCTACACCATGACCTTTGTCACGTCCATTAAATTTGACCATGATTGCGAGCCTGAAATTAAGCATTTAACTGGATACGCAAAATTTAAATGCACCCATAACATGGCTTTCATGTTGAAAAAACTCCTTGTTAGCTACATTGTCCTCATTTTTGTTTATGGCTTGGTTTGCATTTACACTCTCTTTTGGCTGTTTAGACGGCCTCTTAAAGAGTACTCTTTTGAGAAAGTTCGAGAAGAAAGCAGTTTTAGTGATATCCCAGATGTGAAGAATGACTTTGCTTTCCTCCTACACATGGTGGATCAATATGACCAATTGTACTCGAAACGTTTCGGTGTCTTTCTCTCAGAGGTAAGCGAGAACAAACTGCGGGAAATCAGCTTAAACCATGAGTGGACCTTTGAGAAACTACGCCAACACGTGACTCGCAATGCACAGGACAAGCTTGAGCTGCATCTTTTTATGCTCTCGGGCGTTCCTGATGCGGTCTTTGACCTCACTGATTTAGAGGTCCTGAAACTAGAACTCATCCCAGAGGCGCGTATCACAGCGAAAATCTCCCAGATGATCAACCTCCACGAGTTGCACTTTTACCACTGCCCCGCCAAAGTCGAACAGACTGCATTCAGTTTCCTGCGCGATCACCTCCGGTGCCTTCATGTCAAGTTTACGGACGTAGGAGAGATTCCCACTTGGGTTTACATGCTGAAGAACTTGAGAGAGCTCTACTTGGTGGGAAACTTGAACTCAGAGAATAACAAAATGATAGGATTAGAGTCCCTCAGGGACTTGAGGCATCTAAAGATCCTACATCTGAAGAGCAACCTTACCAAGATCCCGACTAACATTACGGACTTGTCACCCCACCTGATCAAACTTGTGGTTCACAATGATGGTACTAAACTCTTGGTGTTGAACAGCTTGAAAAAGATGATGAATCTTGCTGAACTGGAGCTGCACAATTGTGAACTGGAGCGGATACCGCATGCAATTTTTAGTTTGACCAACCTGCAGGAGTTGGACTTGAAATCGAACAATATCCGTACCATTGAAGAGGTCATCAGCTTCCAGCACCTCAAACGGCTTAACTGCCTCAAACTGTGGCATAATAAAATCATTTCCATTCCATTGTCCATAAGTCACGTAAAAAACCTAGAGTTCCTCTATCTGTCACATAACAAACTAGAGACCTTGCCTACCACCCTGTTCAATCTTCTTAAACTGAGATACCTGGATGTTAGCCACAACTCCATCGTAGTGATTCCTCCAGAGGTGGGGTTTCTCCAGAATCTACAGCACTTTGCCATCACAGGAAACAAGGTGGAAGTGGTACCCAAGCAGCTGTTCAAATGCACAAAGTTGCGTACCCTATCGCTTGGGCACAATTGCATCTCGTTGCTGCCAGAGAAAATCGGGCAGTCGCTGCAGCTGACTTATCTTGAACTGAAGGGGAACTGCCTGGATCGCCTGCCCATACAGCTTGGCCAGTGCCGACTCTTGCGCCGAAATGGCCTCATTGTGGAAGACCACCTTTTTGATTCACTGCCCCTAGAGGTCAAAGAGAGCATAAGTCAGGAAACCAGTGCTAATTTTGCTAACGGAGTGTGAGTGTGGATCAGAAAAAACCTGGCAAGATGGTTTTCTGAGTGAACGGAATCAGAGTGCACAAAAGGCAGTGTTCAGTACTTCTGTTTTTTTTTTTTTTTAAACCTTTGTTGTTTTATCCAGGACTGTGGGCATGAATGGATGTTCTGTGTGTAAGGAATGAGTCCAGTATCAAAACTTATGTTAACATTCAATGTCATTTTTTTGGACAGGCCAAAACAAATTGCCGGCAAGTCAATATAAACGTTTGTGAATTTTAACTGCATAGAATTCTTGAGAATTATTCAAATGTTTGAGAAGATTATGCCTGTCTGCATGGGTTTTTGTTCTTTTAAAATGTTTTTTTGTTTGTTTTTATCATTTGCCCATGTTACAGTGGAAGTATAATTCAGATCACTTGTTTTCTGTTCATTTTCAGTAGCATTCATGTTAACATTTTCACCAGCTGTTATTCGCACAGTCTGCATCACATGCATTGTGTATTGTGGTGCCATTAATGATTGTATTTATTGTTTGGGAGAACCCAGAACAACTGACATTTTATTATAAAGTTAATCACAACTACTGTACTCGACTATAAGTGGTAAAAGAAAAAAGTGAAAAAGTCTCCCTGGAATTCCCCAAAAAGGAATTCTCATTTGGGTTTAGATAAAAGTGCACTAAAGTCATTTAAGATGTGCTCTGAAGTGTTTAAGAAACTGAATGTTTGCATTGATACAAAGTTATATCCGTCAAAGATTCAATCAAACAGTATATTTTATACCTCAGTTACTATCTGTTTTTTTTTATGAAACTGTCCACCTATTCAATGTTTATTAACCAAAATACTTGGAACTGAATAACAATGTTTGTTGATGCAGTGCAATGCACAAGACACCTTTAGTCTGTGCAAGTTTTGGGAATAAAATAGCCTTTTCCTTCTTAACATTATCTTTTCATGTGGGTTACAGAAGTGATGCATAAGTTATGTTGACCTCATTTGACTTGTGCATGTTTTGTATATAACACCATATGATGGGACAGACTTGTGTGTATACACTGCATGGTCCTTAATGCTCAAAACCTCCAGTAGACATGTATTGGTAAATTGCCCTGATATATATATATTCTAACATCATATGTTAGCCTGTAACTGTGTATGATTACCATCTGTTTTACTGTTAGCCCTTACTGGCTAGTAAAAGTAATGAAAATGCTTGCATTGTGTGAATCACTGTTATAAGTTACCTTGCTCTGTCTGCGCTGTGCATGCCCATGCAGTCAGCTTTTGAGGCAAATGCACAAAAAAGTGACTTGCCAGATGTTAAGTATCGATATTCACGCCAATGTTGGAATTACGTGTTAGATGTCCCTAACCTGAACATTTGTTGTTTCATTTTTCTTGACAATGTAACAAATCTATCATAAATTAATAAAACATGGTCAAGATTGAATAGTTGTTTTATAGTTTAATAAAAAAATAAAGATTGTTGTCATTTACTCATCCTAATGTCATTCCAGACATCTAGACAACCTGTATGAAAGAATGAAAGTTGTTTGGATCACATTGACTTTTAGATTTTTTTCATTAAATATTTTATTTTATATTAATTTTTGTATTTTATTTTATGTGTGTTAATTTCTACAGAAGGAAGTCATACAGGTTTGAAATAACATTAGGGTGAGTAAATGAAGACAGAATTTAAATTAGGTAAACTATCCCTTTTAAGGTAGCATGCTATAATAACATAAATGGTTTCACTGTTGCACCCTAAAACTCCTTAACCATTTCCTTATTTTATTTTAAGCCAGTAATTTGTATGAAGAGGAAGTGCAATTGTTCTCTTGAAAAGTAAAGGGTATCCATAATATTTAGCTGCTTTAATTAATCGTTGACATAGATTAAGTGGTGTTTGCTTCAAAGCATTCAATTGTTTATGAAAGTTTTCAATAGATTGGATGGTATTTAATTTACCTGTAGTGTACATGAATTGCAGGGTTAATAGTAATAGAATAATTTGGATAACGTCTATTGTATTTTTGTTTTGTTTTGTTTTGCTTATTAAAACAAATACAATTTTGAACACATTTTTGTTTTTGACCTATTTGCATTTCACAGAAGAGTTGTCTAGTCATTTTGTGGAATTACACTTCCCACACTGTGTTATATTTGTCCTACTGAAATGCTGCAGGGTCTGACCTGTAATTGGTATCTTTGTGACCCCTCAAGAATCGTGATGTCGTGCCAGATGAGGCTTGAAAATCATTTTTGATACATGTGTGACTAACAATAATTAGAAACAAAGAGTTTCAATGTTTTGAGTGACTTTAAATTAGATTACTATATAGGTTTTGTACAATTAACTATTTGTTGGTTCTGTTTGATGTTTGGAATGATCGTTTGTTTGTTCATTTATGTAGAGATTTATTAATTTATGTTCCATTTCTATAACCTACTAATAGTTTTACATTGATGTACCTGATTTGAAATGATTCCACCATAAAAATGCATCCATTCAGGTGCATAAAACACTTATTGTTCATTCCGACTGAGTACTTCTTTTCAAAATAAAGGAAATGTGTTTTATTTTTCAGCAAGCTACTTTAAGGTGTATTGCTCTTCAGCCTTGAATGTAGCCTGATACTGCATCCCTTCATGGTTAGCCTTTCTGGTTTTGATGGAAAGGAGAATGAATTTAGTCTGCTTTGCTCCTAATCACATGTTTTGATTGAAAGGATGTTAAATTTGCAACTTGCAATTTTTAATATAATAAATACATTGAAAATATACATCTTGGTGTCTGTGTTGTTTGAAATGATAACATTTGTATTACAGCAGGGGTTCTTAATTCTGGTCCTATGGGACCACTGCTCTGCACATTTTGTATGTCTCCCTTATCTGGCAGTCTCTCCAAACAAGCTGATGATCAGAATCAGGTATGTTAGGTAAGGGGGGACATGCAAAATTCGCAGAGCGGGGGTCCACAGGTCCAGGATTAAGAACTACTGCAATACAGCATAAGGAACTAAAAGCTAACCTATGAGGAGGTAAAATCATTTAAGAGATATAATGTGCAATATAACTTTTAGTATGTATTGAGTTATATTAGTATATAGTATTTCAAAATAAGAGCCTTTAATAAATCAAATCTCAATATCAAAACGTAGCCTACCGAAACAATTTTCCCCACAAAATGTCGTGGTTCTGGAATATTCAGTGCAATCCTTGCACAGTGGTTTAGGTTTGAGCTTCCTCTAGTGGTGAAGGACAGCGTCTTGAAAGTGTTACAAATATTATTTTGCTGCTCTAAATGAATGAATGAATGACTGATACCACAAAGGGGCGAAGTTTGGTAGGTCTGAAGTTGTCGCTGAGTTATGTAACATAATTCTCATTGAACTATTCAGTGTGAATATGTACGATATAATGGACATTGTTACGCTCTGACAGGTGTTAATTGTTCAACTGAAGGTGCTGATACTAAAAAAAAAGATACGGCTTTGTCACGTGGCACCATAACCTTTCACAGCGCTGATCAGGACAGACCAAACACAGCTGTTTGTGATTACTGGAAAAGTCGTGTATTTAAACATTTAGTTTAGATTCATTACTAAGGCTGTATCAATCCGATGATATAGGTCTATTTTATAGTACAAATCCCTTCAGTGAGACCAAAAGTATTTGAATGGGCCCGAATAAGGGGGGGGGGCTCTGTGTATGTTTGGTTTGTGAACCACTAGCGCCCTCTGGAGGAAGACAACTTTCATTAGGACATAGTTATGAAGAAGCAGGATTGTTGTCGCAAACCAGCTCTAAAGTTTCCTAACACCGTTTAGTTTGTTTCTAGCGGGAAATGATTTCAGTGACACCTGCTTTAATTTAACGCGGTAGGTCTGATTGACTCTCGTTTATGTGGTAAGTGAGGCGTCCTTTATGTTGCGTTTAGAAATAACGTTACTTTTGTTGAAAAAGAATGGGTGAAACGGAAAAATTCCTTGCAAAGGCATTTCGAATTTTGTTGAGTTAATCACTAAATGTTATGTTTTTGGTTTGCATAAATGTGCATAATACTTAATTACAAATAAAAAAAATAAAATAAAAGGGTTTAAATGACCATGCCAGCATGCCAGATAATGTAACATTTCCCACACCACAAAACACACATTTTGGTTAAATAAAAGTAAGAATCGATGGTGCAAAATTGATGTAAATGCATCAAGGTGTTCTGATTCAGTCTGACAAGTAAATCTTAAAGAGTATCCGAACACAAGGGCAAAATGAACACTGGAGTGTTGATTGTCTTGCAAAGACCCATTCATAGAGTAGCTTATATGTGTCACTGTTTGTGCTGTCTACAAGTGTTTTATGACAAACCTGAACAACTTTACTGGTACGAAACTGGGACATATCTTTAATTCTGCTTGCATTGCTGGAAAACGGTTCAAACAATTATTGTGGATTAGGCCTAAATACTCACACATTATTTTGTATTTTATTACATGAACATTATAATACCAAACAGGTTTTCATTATTTTTTTTAACTTCTGAAAAGAACATGGACCTTTTTCTACAGACTGTGGTTTAGCATTTCTGCAAACACTTAAAACTGTAAATTTTAGCTTTCATGTTTTTATTTATTATTATTTCATCTCCCATTCATGGCATGATATTTTTTTGTAAATGGTCTCCGATTTACCTATATAGAAGTTTACCCTGCCTGATCATTATATAATGGTCATTAAAAAAAGGATTCGTTGACTTCTAAATTCAGTCATTTACAGTAACTGTCAGCTAAAATATGGAGTCAGTACTTGCTAGTATTATTTTATGTTTAATCAAAGACTATAGAATACCTTAATGGGACTTTGGTTTAATCACGGCTTTAATTATGACTTACAATCTGTTTTTAAGGACTTACTATGAGGATGAAATGTTCCCATCATCAGCTGACAATTCAGGTAATTTAAATTTAAACCTTAATACTTCTGTCTTGTACTTGTTGTTTCTGAATGAGGTACATTCTCTTAGCATTCTCAGATAATCACTTTCACTTGTCAAATGCCCAGGGAAATGCTGCAGTCAGCCATTATTTGGATCGTTTGCATCCTCTGAGTCCTTGGAGACCAAAAGCTCTGACAGGTAAGAATTGTCAGAGGATCTTCCTTGTGCTTTTTTGAGGAGGCAACAGGAACAGCTCTCCTATATAAAATGTTGGAGATCTTTAACATATACATTTTAAAAGTAATTAGTTTGGTAACACTTTGCAAAAAAAACAAACAACAAAAAAACGTATTTTAAATATAAAAATTATATAAATTAAATTACGATTTTTAAATATGTATGCTTAATTATATATATATTTTATTATATAAGTTAATTCAAAAATATTCAATCTTACTGTAACGCGCTACTATTCATTTTTCATCAGTTATGGTGCCTATGAATCTTTTGGACTTGGGTCCTTGAACACTGAAGATGCTGATAGCATTTTTGATAATTCTAATGGAGGGTACAGTGACACCTGTTCATCCACCTGGGGTGCAGACGTCTTGTCAAACTGGGACAGGCCCTTCGTCATGTCTTCCCAAAGGTCCAGGTCTCTGTTTTTCGACAGCGGCAAAGAGAGTCAATACTCAACATCCAACCTCTCCGATTCCTCCAGTCTGTACTCTCCTTCACACTCTCAGTCAGAGCCGATTGGCTCACGGGGCAGAGACATGCACCCATACGTGCACGGAAACTACCGCGGAAGAGGTGCTGTTGTACCTGAGGCCAAAGGACAAGATGTAGGTGTACGTCTGGTGTCTAGTTTATTTATTGAGCAAAAGTAATGACTTTCATTGTTGAATGTTCTCTATCTATTCTCTTCCACAGTGCTCTAGTCAGAACCCGTCTATTTGCATAGTGAGTTGCTACTCAAAATCAGCTACTTTGGTGTTTCGAGGGACCAAGAGGAAGATGATGGAACCAGTACCTCCTTGCAAGATGGTTAAAAAAAAGAGGATAGTAAGAGCAACTCCCAGCATAATCCGCATTGTGGGTGTGTGATGCGCTGCTTTGATAGACCAAACATGATTTAAAAATGAACAAATTGTCGCACTTTCTTTACTGGATTTTTCAAGAATGTTGACTTATATCGATGCTTTTTTTGTTATTTTTTTAGGACCACACATTTCAAAGGTAAGAATTCGTAATCAAATCAAAGATGCCTCAAAATCAGTCCTGTGATACTAGAGTTTGTCTTTTCTACAGGACAGTTATATTTCTTCCGAAACCAAGGAAATAAATAAAGAGCATGGTATGGCTTTTATATTCTATTGTTTATTAAATTGGAAAAAAGTAAAGTTGTATCTCACAGCATAATTCAGTGCAAGCATAGTTTAATATTTGAGTGCAGAGCTTGGTAAGAAAGTTCGAGCCAGAGAGAAGCGCAGAAGACGACGAGAGAAGAATCATGAAAAATATGGAGAGAAGCACAGGTGAACACTGAAATTTCAGACTCATTGCTTCGCTAGATTGACTTGCTGGATATTCATTTATTATTTAAATCTATAAAAAAAATAAAAAAAATATATATATATGTGTATATATATATATATATAT